ATCTCAGTGAAAAATATTTTCTAGATGCATTGTAATTTTTCTAGTTAATTAATTAAAAGGGCTTCTAGTAGTTACCTCTAGATTCGAAATGTTTTTTATTCTGGTCTATATTGTTTTTTTTAGTTGAAAACAGAAGAGAAAGAAAGTAGCATCTGCTGAGGGTGTACGATCTACTAAACACCATACATATATTATGTTATTTCATAGTTATGATATTAATTAGGGCAATACTTTTATAGAAGGAGAAAATAAAACTCAGAGAGGTTAAGCAGGCTGCTCAAAGATACACAGATCACAGATGATGAAGCAGAGAACTGAAGTCTGTATTCTTCCAAACATCATGCTTACTTGAAAAGACAGCCAGTATAGCAAAATATAGATGTAAGTGATTCATGAAAGGCTAGAAGAATGGACTTACATAGATATGAAATAAAACAATATGATTCTTGGCTGGTGTGGCCCAGTGGATTGAGTGCCAGCCTGCAAACCAAGGGGTTGCAGGTTCAATTCCCAGTCAGGGAACATGCCTGGGTTGCAGGCCAGGTCCTCTTGGGGGGCATATGAAAGGAAACCATAGACTGATGTTTCGCTCCCTTTCTTTCTCCCTCCCTTCCCCCCTCTAAAAATAATTCAATAAAATCTTTTTTAGAAACTATGATTAAGTTCAAAAATTGAACTAGGTCTATGGGTGAAATATGACTACACATTTACTAGATAGCTAAATAGTGGCAATACTAAATGCTGATTAGGATGCAGAGAGATAGAGCCTCTCACATATTGGTGGTTGGAATGTAAAACAACACCGTCATCCTGGAAAACAGTGTGGCAGTCTCTTAAAAAGCTAAACATGTCCTTACCATTTGATCAGCAATTACATTCCTAGGCATTTGTCTCAGAGAAATGAAAACGTATGTCCTCACCAAAACCTGTACATAATTGTTCATAGCAGCTTATTAGTAATAGCTAACACCTGAAAACAATTAAAATGCCCTTCAAACAGTGAACAGTTAAACAGCCTTGGTATACCCATATCCTGGAATACTATTCAGCAATAAAAAAATAATCAACTATTGCTACAAGAATCTAGGTGGATCTCTAGGACATTCTGCTGTGTGAACAAAGCCAACCTCAAACAAATCACACACTTTCGCTAATGTACCATTCTTGAAATGACAAAGTTAATAGAAATGGAAAACAGACCAGGGGTCAGAGATGGGGAGGCGGGTAGGTATGTATGACTGTTAAGGGGTGGGATGAGGTAAATCTCTGTGGGGACAGACTAGTTTCATATCTTGACTGAGGTTCAAGAATCTACAACTGTGACAAAATGACATAGTACAACATACATGCATTGGATAAATGCAAAATTGCTGGTTTTGATATTGTACTGTAATTATGTAAGATGTAACCATTGGAGAAACTGAGTAAAGGATACATGAGACCTCTCTGCATTATCTTTATGACTTCCTGTTATTATCTATTATTATCTCCAAATAACAAAAATTTTAAAAATTGTATCTTGGGTGTTTTAGTTCTCTGGGGCTGCCACAAAAAAAGAACCACAAACTTGGTAGCTCAAACCACAGAAATGTATTATCTACTATTTCTGGAGGCTAGAAGTTCAAAATCAAGATGTTAACAGGGTTGGTTCCTTCCCAAGGTGGTGATAGAGAACCTTTTCCATTCTTTCCTAGCTTCTGGTAGCATTAGGCATCCCTTGGTTTGTAGATGGCTTTTCCCTGTGTCTTCACAATACCTTCCCTTTATGCATGTCTGTCTCTGTCTAAATTTTTCTTTCTTATAAGGACACCACTCATATTGGATTGGTGATCCTAATGACCTCATCTTAACTTGATCAGTTGCAAAGACCCTGTTTCCAAGTACAATCACATTCACAGGTACTGGGGATTAGGACTCCAACATCTTTGGGGGGTACACAATTCAACCCATAATACTGCACCTAAAAGAATAAACTGCACAAGTACAGGAGAGAAAATCTCACTTTTATAAAAGGCAGTTTATATTTAAAAAGAAAAAAGAAGGAAAGAAGTGAGGGAGGGAGGAAGGAATGAAAACGGGCTCTGACAGGTGTGGCTCCATTGGCTGGGCATCGTTCTGCAAAACAAAAGGTCAGCAGCTGGATTGCAGTCAGGAGACATGCCTGGTTGTGGCTTCTATCCCCCAGTCAGATCAAGTATGACCGATATTTCTCTCTCACATAGCGGTTTCTCTCCCTCTTTTTCTCCCTCCCTTCCTCTCTCTCTAAAAATAAATAAATAAAATATTTTTAAGAAAACAAGTTAGCAAACAAAAATTACTAGTTTTAGTTCACCATAGGCTCAACCTAAATTAATAATTTAACAAACTGCTTAAAAAAATAAACACTGTCTTCTAGGCTAATGGACAAACATTCAACTTTAAATTGAAAAATGTTTTAGAAAAGGGTTCTCTCTTTTGATTTTAATATTATCTTTTTAATATTAAAAGGTTGATTTAATATTACCTTTACTAATAATTCTACTGTAACAATATTTACTTTTTCTAATTGACATGTGAAGAATTTAATTTAGTTTAATTATCAAAAAAGTCATTTTATCAATCAATTTTAAAATGACATCGTGTTTAATCTCAGAACTGAACATAATTAGAATGGCCAAATGAGAAATATTGTTCTCACTAAATGCAAAAATATGTATTTCTTTGACTCTTCATAACAATAGCTCCATGTTATCAAACATACCAGGTATTTTTGAGATTGGTTTTTGGGAAAGTTACCTAATATTCCCCAAATGTTAGTTTTCCCATGCAAAACATTCATTATTATGTAATTATAGAGATTTCTGCAGCATTTGTTTTTAAAACTTACTAGATGCTTTTAAACTAAAAATAAAAAAAAGAGTATGAAATGTTTTAAATTCTTGGACTTGTACTTATGTGGCTTATTTTTCAATTTTTCTGTCTTATTTCTAACTGAGGAGATAAGAGATTTCGAGTTACTATTTCCTAAAATAGCACATGAGAAAACAAATCTATGACTGTAGAGGATTTTCAACAGGTGAATTGATTTTAGCCTAATATGCATAATTATCCTTATTTTTTTCTCATTTCCTTGATGTACTTCAGCATAAGTATACATTAAGTTTTTTGTCTTCAACCAGTTAATTATGGGAATTAATTAAACCATATATGATTAATAACATATATTTTTAAAACTGTCTAATGGTGACAACTATTATGAAAAGTAAAGGTTTAAGGTTGCAGTAGATAAACTGAAGACAGTTCTTCCATCCTTCGGTTTCCTCTCACATTGCCCTGGTCCTATATTTTGGATTCCATGTCTTTCTCCTTCTTGATTTACTACCTGGTTTGTTGGAGCACATCCTCTAGCAGTTTTCTTTTTCTTTTTTAAGGTAGATGGACAGGAAGTAAATATTTGCGTTCATGTGTATCTAAAAATGTTTTTATTCTGCCCTAGTACTTGATGGGTGGTTTGACTGACTACAGACTTCTAGGTTAAAGTTACTCTCTTTCAGAGTTTTAAAGACAGTTCACTTCATTGTGCTTTAGCATAAAAGTGTTATTGCTGAGAAATCCAGTGGACTTCTAATTCCCATCTGAAAACTCTTGAAATCCTCTGCATTCCTAGCATCCCGAGCTTCCTAATGGCAAGCTTCAAATAGGTCCTCTCAGTGTGGAGACGCCTGTGCTTCAGGTCAGGAAAAGCGCTCCAATTATTTTTGGGTCATTTCCTGTCGCTTGTTTTCTGCTCTCCTTTTCTGGAAGTCTCTGTTACCTGATGAGGTGAACAAACCTCATAAATGAATTAGTGAATGACTGAGAGAAGAACTGAGTAAATGAATGAGCGAGTACATGAATGAATGACTATAGTAATGAATGAGTGAGTAAATACATGAGTGACAAATGAGTGACAGAGATGAATGAATGAGTGAATGAGTGAATTAATGAGTTTGTGAGTGCATGAATGTGTGGGTAAATGAGTGAGTGAGTGAATAAGTGGAAGAGTGAGGGAATGAGGGGGAGAGTGAATAAGTGAGGGAATGAATGATTGAATGAGTGAGTGAATGAGGGTGTAAGTGAATCAATGAGCATGTGAGAGAAAATTGAATAAAAGCATGAATGAGTGAGAGAGCAAATGAATCAATAAATGAGTGGCTGAATCAATGAATGAATAATTGAAGAATGAATAAGTGAGTGAATGACAAAGAGAATGAATGAGTTTGGGCAGCACTCTAGCCAAGCTCTCACTGAAGACAAAGCACCGAGTGTGGACTATGTGTGAAGCAGAGCGTCTCACTAAGAGTGACAGGAGTTCTAAGGACGGCGCTGCCCTCGCCCACGGCCGGTCACAGGAACCTAACGGGCCGCCGGTGGCCCCCTTGCTTTATGTCGCTGAGGATCCGGTGGTCCGGGTCTGCTAGGTCCACAGGCCGCAGGCCCTGGAGCCTGTTCTGAGACGTAGTCGCCCTACCCAACCCTGCAAACCCGGCACGCGCAGCCCTACCTGGCTAGCGGCGCTTCCTTAGGTGTGCGGTCGCGTCAGTGCGGGGGCCCATCTCCCTCCCGCGAGCGGAGCTGAGGGGACTGTGCCAGGGGCCGAGCAGACTGACAAACCGGCCGGCGGCTGACATCGCGTCCCCAAACCCCGGCCAGGGGACCGAATAGACGTCCAGCTCCTTCACCGCCCGCAACTGTCGCCGGGTCAGCCGCCTCAGGCCTCGACTCTGCTAGGGAGGGGCTTGCGGCTAGAAGACAACGAGCCGGACGGGTCTAGGTAGGAGTAGGGGTGGGAGGAGCCGACAGGGTGGGGCGGGGTTAGGGGAGGGGTGGGGCGGGGTTAGGGGAGGGGTGGGGCGGGTACGGCTGCGACGTGGGCGGGGTGCGAGGAGGAGCTAGCAGAAGTGGGCGGGGCGCACGTTTGGGGAGGAGCCGGCGGGAGAGTGCGGGGTTAGGGGAGAGGTCGAACGGATGGGAGCGTGACGTAGGCGGAGTAGGAGGAAGAGCCGGCGGGTAGGAGCCGGGACAACCAAAGGGGAAGAGGCCCCTCGACGCCGCCGCGGCAGAGCTGCTCGTCTCCTTCGAGACCGCACTCCACTGGTCTCCGGGAAGGGGTTGGGCGGCGCGGACATGGACGCCCTGGAGACTTAGTACCCGTCGGCAGCAGAGGTGCGGCCGGCAGCAGGACGGTGCAGAAGCCGGGAGAAGGCAGCGGGGTGCGGCAGCGCGTCCCGGAACCATGGGTACGGAGCCCATCTGCAGCGCGCTGCCCGCTGTACCCTCGCACAAGCTCGCTGACCTGCGCTTCCTCAGCCGCGGCGCGTCGGGCACCGTGTCGTCCGCGCGCCACGCGGACTGGCGCGTGCAGGTGGCCGTGAAGCACCTGCACATCCACACTCCTCTGCTCGACAGGTAGGCCCTCCGGTACCATCGCGAAGACTGCGGCAGCCTGGACTCGCGGCTCCCTCCGCGCGTCTTGTCCCCGCGGCGGGCGTTTCCCTGGGTCCCCGCCTCGCTCTCCCGACCGTGCTACTCACAGCGCGTTGAGCCTTCAGTGTGACCGGGCCGGGCACTCAGCACGGGACATCATGGGTGTCCCTGTGGTCTCTGGGCCTGGAACATCTGGGCTTGGGGCCATATTGTGTTCTGTGGCTGATCGCGTAGTCACTGAGGCTTATTATCACAAGAGAGCCTGTCGCAGAGGAAATACTGTGCTTTCTGCTAACAGTGACCTGAATCAGAACTTATACAGGACCAGAAACTCGGATAGCCTGGCACATCCTGCACAATTCAGTGGGAACTGTAGTTTCGGTTTCCAGAAAGCACTGCAACCGCGCACGGCCGGCCATGACCCCGCATTGCTCAAGGGTCAGTCACTCTTCCTGTCCATTCTCCTGAGCTCACATCCGTGTCGAGATGGGCCGTGTACCAGTCCTTCGTCAGCTTCAGCCCCTACGTTTCGTAGCTGCCCTGGTGTCAAGGCATGTCTGGCCCAGATCTCAGCAGACTGGCGACGCCCCTAAGGCGGTCCCACCTCGTGAACACCCCAACCCTGGCCTCGTCAACACAAGGCGTGGCCTCTTTACTCTAGGCCTTGAATTCTGTGCAAGTGCTGGGCAAGTCTGGACAGTATGCAACCTACCTCGGTGGTGGCGATGGAATAAACTGTGCAAATACCCTGAAAGCCAGCGCTGAGGGGCCTCTTCTAAAGCTAATTAACCCTCTACTATGGGTATTAATTCAAGTTTTGTGCCTTGTGGGGGCCAAGGAATGAAAAGAGAGTTCCGTTTCTTTACTCATTAATAATTTCCTCATAATCTAAAGTTCTTCGCTAAATTGGTAGGAAATTAATTCTGTCTTTAAAAAAGCCGTAAGACTAGTGAAATAACTCTGGCATCTCCGCATCACATGTTTTTCTCCCACTTGGTTCCTGACATGTGAACATCATCAGTGTTTGCATAGTCTGAGCACAGGGCTGAGCTGTGCAGTTAGGTCACAGGCTATTTCCTCACTTATAAAATGAGAATAATAAATACATGGACTTCTTGAGCTGTGGTTTGGATAATGTTTGCATTGTTCTTCGGGATCACCTGAAAGAAAAATAAGTTTATGTAATGGTTGCTATTTTTATTTTAGGGATTGGTCAGTCCTCCATAACCTGATTTCTACCCCTGAGTGGATATTCCCCAATAATCTCCCAACTACTTATGAGTAGATGGGACTGGCAGGTCGTTCAAACACCTGGTAGACGCCATAACTGTTTTTTTGCTGGTCATTTTTTGGTGATCAGACTACAGAAGCTGTATGTTATTTTTTTATTTTTTTATTTTACTTTTTTATTGTTGTTCAGTTACAGTTGTTCCAATTCCACCTCCTCCACCCCATTGTTTTCCCTGCCCTGTCCAACCCCCTTCTCCCAAAGGCAACCCCCACACCATTGTCCTTGTCCTCGGGTCCTTTATACAAATTACTTGACCTTTCCTCTTCCTTCTCCTATTCTACTCTACCACCCTCCCTCTGGTCACTGTCAGTTTGCTCTTTATTTCCATGTCTCTAGTTCTTTTTTGCTCATTTGTTTGCTGTGTTTGCTTTGTTGATTAGGTTCCACTTATAGGTGAGATCATATGGTATATGTCTTTCACTGCCTGGCTTATTTCACTTAGCTTAATGTTCTCCAGTTCCATCCATGCTGTCGCAAAGGGTAGTCGCTCTTTCTTTCTGCTATATGGTATTCCATTGTGTAAATGTACCATAGTTTTCTGATCCACTCATTTACTGATGGGCACTTAGGTTGTTTCCAGTACTTGGCTATTGTAAATAACACTGCTATGAACATTGGGGTGCATAGGTTCTTTTGGGTTGGTGTTTCAGGATTCTCAGGGTATAATCCCAGCAGTGGAATCATTGGATCTAAAGGCAATTCTATTCTTAGTTTTTTTAGGAAGTTCCATACTATTTTTCCACAGTGGCTATACCAGTCTGCATTCCCACCAGCAATGTTCTAAGGGTTCCCTTTTCTCCACAACCTCCCCAGCACTTGTTGTTTGTTGATTTGTTAATGATAGCCATTCTGACCAGTATGAAGTGGTATCTCATTTGTGGTTTTAATTTGCATCTCTCTGATGGCTACTGATGTTGAATATCCTTTCATATGTCTGTGGGCCCTCTCTATATCCTCCTTTGAGGAGTGTCTGTTCAGGTCCTTTGCCCATTTTTAAAATGGATTGTTTGTCTTCATGGTTTGGAGTCATGTGAGTTCTTTGTATATTTACAAGATCAAACCCTTGCAAATATTTCAAAAATTTATATGGAACCATAAATGACCCCAAAGAGCCTCACCAATTTTGAGAAAGAAGAACAAAGTAAGAAGGATCACAATACCTGTTATCAAACTATATTACAAGGCTACTACAATCAAAACAGTCTAGTACTAGCATAAGAACAGACACATAGATCAGCAAACAGAATAGAGAGCCCAGAAATAAACCAAAGCCTCTACGGTCAATTAATATTTGACAAAGGGGGCAGGAGCACAAAGTGGAGTAAAAATCGCCTCTTCAATAAATGGTGTTGGGAGATCTGGACAGGAATATGAAAAAAAAAAGTGCAACTAGACCACCAACTTACACCATATACCAAAATAAACTCAAGATGGATAAATGACTTAAATATAAGTCGTGACACCATAAAAGTCCTAGAGGAAAACATAGGCAGGAAAATTTCAGATATCCAATGCAGCAATATTTTCACCGATATATCCCCTAGGGCAAAGGTTACTAAGGAAAGGATAAATAAATGGGACTACATCAAATTAAAATGCTTCTGCACAGCTAAAGAAAACATCAGTAAAATGAAAAGGGAACCATCCGTATGGGAAAACACATTTGCCAATGATACCTCGAAAAAGGGTTTGATCTCCAAAATACATTTTTATTTTTAAAAATATAAAAACCTATTTTTAAACTGCTTTGGCTGTTTGTGTTTTCCCACTCACTAAATCTTCCCAGAACCTGACTTGAAGAACCTACTATCATCTCTGATCATGTGCTAGAACGGAAAGAACACAGGCTTTGGAGTCCCACAGTTGCAATTCAAATCTGACTCCAGCCTTGCCACTTATTATTGGCATGACCATTAGAAAATTACAAATTGACCGAAGCCTTGGTGTCCTCATGTATAAAGTGCAGATAATGAACCAAACTCTAGGGGTGATAGTAGCATGATAAGGGTATACAAAGTGGCTGACACATAACAGATCAAAATAGAAAGAGGAATGCCTCATACCCTTAACTGGGAAGAGAAAAGTGTGTAGTAAATACCACTGAGACTTTTCCAGCATGTCCATCTGTCTGTAGTTCTTTCTCAGAGTGTACGTCCTCTGTCTTCCTGCCAGCATGCTACCCAGACTCTCTTGTTGACCTACATCTCTTAATGCAAATACAGAAGTGTTTCAACTTATGGAATATAAGTTTAATTAAAACATGTCTCTCGTCTGGGATATTAAGTGGCTGAAGAACAGGGTGTGTACCCTCTTGTAACTCTAGTTATAAACATATATGATTATTTATTCAGAACATAAATGACTAAGATTTTTTGCTTTAGTTTTGTTTTGTTTTGAAAGCAGGCCTTATCATATGGTCGGGAATGTCTATTGCTTTTCTTATTGCAATAGCCATTTATCCAGAGGTTGGGTGGTTTTAAGACCCAACTAATCACCATCACTTATCTAACAGGCTTCTCCTGGAGACTAAACTATTGCTGCTGCTACCAACACCCATTCATACAGTGAAAACTGATGACATCTTTAATTCCTTTTTTTTTTTTTTAATCCCTGTAGTGAGTCAGTCAGTCACCACAGCCTGGGCATTCTAGTTAGCTGGTATTTTTCTTTCCATTTCCACTGTGACCTTTATAGTTTCAGGCTTTCATTGCTTCACATCTTAACGAGTATTATAGCTAACATCTGACTTTCAAACTCTACCTTTCTGCTGATCCTCCATCCTCCTGCCAAGTGAATCCTAAAAATTTGTTTTGCTCATGGCATTCCTCTGCTTAAAAACCTGCAGTCACAGCTCAGAGACTAGCAAATTAAGTGTAAACACCCTTGTCTGGCTTTAAGGCTCCGAGACCTAGTCCTACCTGTGCTAGTCACCTTCACTTTTACAGCTGTTACATATCCTGACACATATTAGACAGCTTGCCATATTCTAAACATAGCCTTCACTTTAACTTCCTTGAATACATTTGGTGCATATCTATTAAACATCTACTGTGTGCCAGGCACTGTTCCAGGTCCTGGGGATACACAGATGAAAAAGACAAGGTCCCTCTCATCTTGGAGGCCACATCCGTCTTGGACGTCCTTTCTCCAAAGGTTGAGATTCTATCTATCCTTAAAGTGTAATTGGAATCCCACCTCTCTGAAGACTGTGGTGACACTCCGAGGCCAAAGTTTACTCTCTTTTCTTTGGGTTCCCACAGTTCTCTATTTATTCATTTAGTTACTTTTTGTGTGTGTGGCACTAATCACATTCTGCCTTATATTTTAGTGTTTATTTTTGTTTGCTTTTCTTATTCTTTAACTTTATTAATGAATAATTGACAAATATAATTGTGTACAGTCATGTACCACTTAATGACAGGCATACTTTCTAAGAAATGCATTGTTAGGTGATTTTGTCGTTGTGCAAACATCACAAAGGCACTTACACAGACCGGGGTGGTGTAGCCTGCTGGGCTACATGGCACAGCTTATTACTCCTGGGCTACAAGCTGTATAGCATGTTATTGAACAAAATAACACTAGGTTAACACATCATGATGGCTACAATATCATTAAGCCGTAGAAATTTTTCAGCTCCGTTACAATCTTACAGGACCACCACTCTGTGTGGTCCACGGACTGTATATACGACTGTTATTTAAAGTGTGCTTCATGATAATGATAGACACAGACTGTGCAATGATCACCAAATCAAGATAATTAACACATCCAAAGAAGACATACAAAAGGCCAACAAGTATCTGACAAGATGTTCAACATCACTTACTACCAGGAAAATGCAAATCAAAACCACAATGAGTATTTATTTTTCTTAAAAGATTTCTGAGCAGCTTGAAAGCACAGACTGTTTTTTTTTTCATCTCTATGTTCTCCATAATGCTGAGCACAATTTATTCTTAATAAAATTTCACTATTTACTTGTTTTGTATATGAATAAGCAAATGCACCTGGGATCCAGAGTTACCTCAGGCATCTGTTAGAAGCACTTACCTGTTCTCAGTGTTCTTTCCCTGGGTTCCAGAGTATAATTTCTAAGCATTATTAACCCTCATGCAACTATCACCTAGTTATTTAAATTTACAACATGGATGTTTTAATATTCAGGATACTTGGGAAATTTTTACATGGTATATAACCATAAAATTTAATATAACATTCTAATCAAGTATGATCATTTTAATACACTTAATAGTTTAGTTCATACACCAGTCATTCTAATATAGATTTTATAAACTTATCCAGTATGTTTTCTCCCTTTCCTAGAAAAGTACCACAATAACCTAGGTATAGCACTTTTTCTCTTCTGTCAGTAGCTTACAGAAGTTACTTTGGCCTCTAAACAAATCTTACAATATGTAAGGCAGATGTTTTCCCTACTTTAACTATGATGAAACTAAAAGACAGATTAAATTTGCAACAAATCAAAAGCTAATTACTGAAAAAGTCCAGGCTAACTTAATAACATGGGCATGATAATTGTGTGTTTTTCATTACTTTAAAATAATTATGATTTTTTTTCTTTAGTGAAAGAAATGATGTCTTAAGAGAAGCTGAAATTTTACACAAAGCTAGATTTAGTTACATTCTTCCAATTTTGGGAATTTGCAATGAACCTGAATTTTTGGGAATAGTTACTGAGTACATGCCAAATGGATCATTAAATGAACTCCTACATAGGGTAAGTATTGTACACTTTCAGTGGCTATAATTCTATTAATCAAGCTATATAATGCTTTAGTTTTACATATTATCAACTTATTTGGGGATATATAAATGAATTAAAATAAGAATAATGAAAAACAATTGCAGTTGTAAAGTTTCACCATTTACAGCTTTTTTTGTGTTTTTGAAAATTACATGCAATCAGGCTTTGTACTCTAAGGGACCTAGATTATTTTGCTTAGGTTACTATTCCTGAGTTTTACACTGAATTGCAATATCCACATGTATATTTACAGGTAGGCATACCTATGTACAGGTAGGCATAAGAGAGAGAAAAGATAAACTCTGCACACTGTATAGTCCACTGTTAGGCTGGATTTTATTTTATGTTAAAGACAATTTAGGATTCAAACTAAATGTTGATAATACCAGTTCATAAAGTTCTGAATTAATAGACAAAATAAATCTATCTCTGAATACCAAATACATTGGCTTTTCCATAATCAACAATGACATGAGCCATTTACTTATTTTTTCAAGGTACCAGTTACTCTGGCTTTGACTGTAAATCCCATAAATAAACAAATTTGGGGCTCTTCATTCTCAAAATATGTGTTTTCATCTAGTATTATTTGCTTGAGCTGATATCTCCAACCTGCAGTTTCTCTCAATAAGTCTTTTAACACCACTCAGTCCATTTAGCGAGGGTTGGTTTAGTTAAAACTGGATAATAGAAAGTATAAAATCCAACTTTTGGATACTCCTAAATCCTGATAGGTCAATGTTCTGTAAGTGAAAAGAAAGAGTGGGTGCCACTGTCAGCCCCTGGTGGAGTGACTCCCTCTTTGTTTATGATGTGACCATCTAAAACAGGATGGGGTCAAGTAGCTGGTGTCAATGTATGAAATTTGTGTAACCACCACAGCAGTCAAGTTGCAAATATTAATTAAGCACAATTTCTTTTTTTCTTTTTGAAAAGTAAGTGGAAATACTAATGTGTTCTTCCCATACCTCAGCACTCCAGTAGATATTCGGACACCCAAATTTGGAACCCACTAGGAATTCTAGAGCCTCCTACAGGGGGACTACTAACTTCTGGAAGGTATCATGACCAGAAGCCCTCACTTAACACTGTAATGCAGAGAGGACTTCTTCTGGCTTTAAACTACATAATTTTCAGAAAAGTTACTTTTTTACAGATTAATAGATTCAGTTATGCAAGATTCAGTTATTCAAGAAGAAGTAATGTTCAACACGAATATTTGTGTTTCTTTTGGGTTTTTTGTATTGCATTATTAGAGTGGGATTTATCTTGAAGCACCCTCCTCCACCCACACAAAAGATTGTTGAAATTAATCAAAATACAATGTAAACACAAAGTATTTTGACTCACTTCCTGCCAGGTTGATCACTGAACCATAAGCTGATCCATTTGCAGAAAAAAATTCTCAAGAACAGTTTGGAGCTTTCAGTAGAAGTGTGCTTTTTCATATCATTTAGAAAAATGTACCCAGTGGCTGGTGCCTGATGATTCATTTGAGGATCTTCCCAAAATACCTAATTTTTCTGAGTATATTCATTCTCTTGAGCTGCTGCATTAATATTTATGTTCAGAAAACATTTATTTTATGAAAGTTCAAATGGATATCACTTGTAAGTACCAAGAAATATAAAACGTTATTTTTAATGTGTCTGTATTTAATATGCTTTATAAATGAAGATGATCTTTTCTCCATAAAAACAAAACCTAAGGCTAATTTTTCAAGTTGGAATACAAATAAATTATATAATTAAAAGTATGAGATATTAATACTTAATAAATACAATATGGTCATACTTTTTAATTTATGCAACGATTATAATAATACCTTAAATTACAGTTTTATAGTAATAGGAAAATTAAAACATTAGTTTGAGTGAGTGGTTTGGTATGTACTAGAAACAAATTGTGTGTGTGCACGTGTGCACAGGTGCAGACACAAACTACTTGATATAAGCCATAGAACAGGGAGACAGGTGTGGGTATAGACATATGTGTGTAAGTATTATACAGATTAAAAAATAATTGAAACTGTGTCAACTGAAGAAGACTCAATATCATGTAGTTACATTACTAATATAAACCAAAAGGGAATATTAATACTATACAGTTACTATTTTCCCTAAAAAGTGAGGAAAATAAGATACAAGGATGTTAATGTCAAATTGATACTATGTAATAAAAATGAGCATATGTTTCAACCTTAGTTTATGCTGTATTTCCTCATGGAATGTTTAATTTTCCAAGTAGGAATGTAAAGAAATTTGGCCAATGATTTTCATTTTGTTTCTTTCTTGCATATATGAAGAAAACAGAATATCCTGATGTTGCTTGGCCATTGAGATTCCGCATCCTGCATGAAATTGCACTGGGCGTAAATTACCTGCACAATATGAATCCCCCTCTACTTCATCATGACTTGAAGACGCAAAATATCTTATTGGATGATGAATTTCATGTTAAGGTAATTACTTGTTAAGAAGTCTATGTGCATCCTTTGTGATTAATAGCTTTAAAAAGACTATTTCTTTTTCCACCTAACGAATAGAATATCTCTCCCTTTTCCATAGCCCCTAATTTTTATCTTCAGTGCCCCTTCTTCCTGCTGCAATGGCTTAGTTATTCCTAGGCCACAGAGATAGACACAATTACAGTACCAAATACAAAATCATTATGTTTTAGCTGAAATTGTGTCGCAGGGAGCACATGGCATAGGTGCTCCCAGATCTGAGGGTTACTGTCCAAAGCCAGCTGAGGAGGGAGGGGGACTCTGAATTCCACAGAGCCCGTCCCAGGGTTGTCATGGATCGGGGGAATACACACGAGTCACCACCGCAAACACTTCTTTGTTTGCCAGGAAAGGGGACTTGGCTCTTCCCTCTAGTGGGGAAGGCCCCAAGCTCCTTTGTCCAAAGGCTTTTATTGAAAGGGTTATCAGTATGGCTAGGGAATAGGTGATCTAATTACATCAGTATGCTAATGTTTACAGAGAATAGATGATGTTTTGAAGAAAACAAATGGCAAGAACACAGCAATTTACATGGGTCAAAGAGACTTGGAAACATGAGAGTGCCAAAGGGTGTAAGGTTAGGATCTGTGAATAATGCAAATTCCTTCCCAGCATGAGCTGGCTATCATAGCTTTTGAAGAAGAAACAAAACATGCTTTAAAGAATTTTCTTTTAGGCCTGATATTCCCTGGGAACCGCCAGACCCAGTTTAGGACTGTCTCCAGTATTGTTTTGAGCCTGAGTCAGGCCAGGAGAGGGAGCCACCAAGAACAAGGAGACTTCTTTCAGATAGAATGAAGACCCCAGCCATGTCCAAGCCCAGGCAAGGGGTGCAGGTCTTTTTGCTCTTTCTCCATGTCCCCCAAGTCCTTGACCTGCTGCCCATACTGGCTGTGTCTAGCTTAGGTTTTCCCTCCTCTTGAGGAATCTTACCCATCTTTGACTATCAACCATCACAGGACCAAGCAGGGTGCTGTGAGGGAGGCAGGGACTGCACCTCTGCCAGGGGGACAGGTTTCATCTCTTCAATGGCCTATTTTCCAAAGGCCTCCTTGATTATTTCCAGCCTTGGGGCCCTCTTGCCTATCAGTGGGGCTACAGTTCCCGAAACCAGACAGGACATTTCCCAACAAAATTGGGGAGTACACCTTTTTTTTACTTTTATTTTGAAATTATTATAGATTCACAGGAAGTTGCAAAGATAAAACAAAGAGCTTCCATGTACCTTCACTCAGTTTCCTTCAATAGATACATCCTACATAACGATAGTACAATTCAAGACCAAGAATTTGACATTAATACGATGCATGTATGTAGTTCTGTGTCTCTCTATCACCTGTGTAAATCCGTATAATCAACCAATCAAGATACAGCATTACCCGACACCCACACTGCAGAAAGCACTCAGGCCACTCCTTTCAGTCATATCTGCTTCCTACCCTTTACCATCTCTGGCCCCTGGAAACCACTCATCTGTTTTCCATCTCTGTAATTTTGACATTTTGAAAATGCTTTATAAATAGAATCATACAACGTGTGATATCTTGGATTGCCTTTGTTTATTTAACATAGTGCCTTTGAGATCCATCCAAGTTGTTGCTTGCACCATAATTATTGTTATTGCTGAATAGTATTCCACAGTATGGGTATACCCCACTTATTTAACCATTCACCTATTGAGAGACACTTCGGTTATTTCTAGGCTTTGGCAATTATAAAGCTCCCGTGAACAATCCTGTGCAACTCTTTGAATGAACATTAGTCTTAATTCTTCTGGGATAAATGCCTAGCTGTTCAGTCACATGGTAAGGGTATGTTTAGTTTTTTAAGAAACCATCCAACTATTTTCAAGAGTGGCTGTACCATTTTATATTCTGTCAGCAATGTGTGATAGACCCAGCTTTTTCACATCCTCACCAGCATTTGGTATTACCACAACTTTTACTTTAGTTGTTCTAATAAGTGTCTAGTAATATTGCATCATGGTCTTAATTTGCATCTTCCTAATGGCTAATGATGAACACCTTCTCATGTGCTGTGTGTCATCTATATATCCTTTTCAGTGAAATGTCTCAGTATGTCTTAAGCTGTTTCCTAATTGAATTTTGGGTTGGTTTGTTTGTTTTCTTTTTTTACTGTTGGGTTTTGAGAGTGTATTTTCTTGATATGAGTCCTTTACCAGCTATGTAGTTTGCAAATAGTTTTCTCCTGATCCATAGCCTGTTCTTTTCATCCTTTGAACAGGGTCTTTCACAAAGCAAAACTTTTCATTTTGATGAAGTCCAACTTGCCATTTTTTATCTTATGATCATGCTTTTGATGTCATGTCTAAGCACTCTTCATGAAGCCATAGGTATTGAAGGTTTTTTTCTATGTTACCTTCTAAAAGTTTTATAATTTTATGCTTTTGAACTAATTTTTTTTATTTTGAATTAATATCTGTATAAAGTAAAAGATTTAGGTATCTAAAGGCAGTTAATATAGTAGGATTTCAGTTACCCTACATCCAGCTATTGACAGCAAATAAGAGGTAGTTCCTGGAAAATTAATACTATATGTAGCTCGCTTTATTTTTACATATATTTTGCTACATTTTTCACAATAATTTACGTAATTAAAGATCATAAATATCAAAAATGTTCAAAGAAATAAGTAGTTGGGAAGTTGGAACAATAAAAAAATTAGTGCAAAAAAATTGATAAAAATTAAGGGATAAAAATAAACCTTTACTAAAGGCACTTCCTCTTTCTAGAACAAAATGGGAGAGGAGAGGAAAGGGGAGCAAGCTGCTGCCTCAGTATTGCTATAAAGAGAGACTAGTCTATGACATCAGTTATGGAACTTTACAGGTGGAAGTTCCTTAGCAGTCACCTAGTCCCCTGGGTCCTTACTGCAACACTCCCCGGCCTTCCAAGGCAGTTATCCTGTGACAGAGGAGTCTCAACATCCATCTTTGAATGACTGTGACTTTTTCTTATGTGATCAACCAAAACTCCTTCCTTGTTGCTTCTACCCACTGCTCTGTGTAATAAACTGAATCAGTCCAATTCTGCTTCTACAGGACCGCTGTTTTGATAGTTGAGAATGGCTACAGCCTGCCCCTCACACTCTTGTGTTATGGCCTTCTCCTTGCCAAGCACCCCTAGTTCCTTAACCAGTTTCCTTACAACATGGGTTTTAATCCTAGATGCTATCTAGATGAATCTGTGTTTCAATCTCTCTTAAATTTTGATCCTCAGAATTGCACAAAATACTCTAAATGTGGTCTGGCCACTGTAGAATTGAGTGGAATTATCATTTATCCTCTAGTCCTAAATACTTAATAGTTCCTTAATAATTCATCAGCTTTTGGGGAACGGCCACATGACAACACTCAAATTGGGCTTAATGTCAACAGGAAGCCCTGAGATATTCTTTTTTTTTTTTCATATATTGTCGCTTAAGCCACATCTCCTTATCATGTGCTTTGCAGCACACTTTTTGTACATTGGCAGTTTTATCTTGTTAGACCTGAGTGATCACTTTACCCTTTAAGACATTTTTGAATGTTCTTTCTTTATTCCATGGATTGTAAGTTCTTTCCAAGCTTTGTTGTATCATCCTAAAATTTAGTTAGGCATTGTGTGTGTGTGTGTGTGTGTGTGTGTATTTGGGTCATGATATAACTTCAGAGCTCAGGTGAGAGCTGCACTACATGGTGCTAAGAACCCTCAGGTCTGTGTCAATCAGCACTGTTGGAAAATAATCAGTTTGTTCGGAGTACTCCTAAAAGAATTATTATACAGCCCATATTTCCTCATTTTGTCCATAAGAACATTATGAAAGTCCTTGCCTGACTGTTTTCCCAGGCATCTTCAAGGCTCACTCCCTCTCTGTATTCAGCCTCATTTCTAGACGACTATCCCTAGACCACCCAGCCAGTTCATCTCTACCATTGTACCTCAATTTATGCTTCTCCCTACTATTTTCACCATCTGACATAACATTTTAATTAATATGTTTATTGTCCATCTCCCCCAATTGGAATATAAGCTCCATGAAGACATAAACTTAGTCTATCTTATTAACTGCCATATACTCAGCACATGCCATATTCATGCTATTCAATAATCTGTTGAATGAACAAATGAAAGACTTTCAGATCTTCTTCATGTAGCAGATAGGCCTTCTAGGTTTGTAGTCAAGTATGCTATTATTAAAGTACCTCAAAATGTTTTGTAACATACAAACTTTTTACATTTACTCTTCAACAGTAATAATACTGTCAAAAAAGGAAATGAAGTCACTCATTCTTTTACTCAGTGGATATTTGTGGAGCAACTGTGGTATGCTACGCATTGTGTCCAGCACGTCTGACACATCACGTGAAGTCTGAAATTGACTACTGATCTAATATAATTTGTTTTTTATGAATTCTTGCTGGCTCTTTCCTTAATTATTCATAAAGTTCCCTTTTATAAAATTTTCTAAATTTTTAAACCAGGGATTAAGGATAGTCTCTTGCTACTATGTAGATTTGTGAAGTCAATAATATTTTTCATTTTTAAAAATCAGAATGACATTCACTTTTCTCATATGCTCTCCCACAAAGAACATTGAGAGCACCCAGGAGGTATTTGCAAGTTCTCAATAACTTGAAGTATATATAAAATAGCCCAAGGCCTGCACTTTATAAACCTTTCAACCTCCTTAGATTTTACTTTCTGAGTGTTAGGCCAGAGAAAACAGAAGTAAAGTAATGGGCAATCATCCTTTCTCTTCTTCATTGATCAGTAGGGGACCCTTGGTCTTTCTTTGAAATGAATAAAATTTAAAAGAAAGTATTTATATTTCTCTGCTATTCTGTCAGTCCTGTGTGGAAACCAGAATACTTACAGATGGGTCTTCCTAGCTTGTTTATACTTTCAAGATGGACAGTATATGTAAATGAAAGTATTCAGCTATTCTAGTAGAGTGGTAGGATTATGGATGATTTTTTGAGTAGTGCATTTTAATTTCCTCTAATTTTTATCATCTTTTATTAAGAAGATAATTAATGGTTTTATTAAAAAGAAAACCATTAGCTTTGAAATATATTTGAAGGTCTTGTGTAGAAAGGGAAAGTTCCTTTCTGTCTGCATTGATGAATGATGGATTTATTAAGACCCTCAAGAAATCATGGACATATTACTCCCATCACATCCTTCACATCTTCCTTCTGCAAACCCAGGTTTAATGAATTCTGAAAAACCCAGGTTTAATGAATTATGTCTTTCATATATGATATTCTTTGGGACAGAGGAAGAGGAGAAGTGTGGTTCCATGTGGAAGACAAACTAAATTAGTTCATCGAGGGAACCCTGACTAAGACTTCTAGACTGGGTTGGAAAACCCAAAAGATGAGGCTGTTATGTGAAGTAAAAGGAACACATAGGAAGCAGACTCAGACTGTTTTCTCCAACACTTGACCCAAACCGATTCTGAACCCAGTAGTTTACACATCAGGCATCAGATATAAATGAAACCACACCCCTATTCTTTTTTTAGGATTTTCATTCTGACACAAAAATAAACTTAGTTGTCATGGTAATGCTTACTATCCTGGCAGGTATATGCCTGGAATACTGGTTTTGCCTTCAGACAGTGAGGGAGGAATAGACTCTGCAATACCAAGTAGAATTAAGTGGGATGTATGCTCCTTGGAGCACTAATACCACTCAGAGCAACTCAGAGCCTAAAACTTGGCTCTGTGCTTGGTGGTATTGTATGAATAATAGCAACCTTTAGAGACGTTTTCCTGTAACCAAAACATTAACCATACTAATTTAGCTCATTCAATTTTCTCAGTACAACCCCAAGCTATAGAGACTGTCATTACTCTCCGTTTCCAGATGGGTAATCTGAGACACAGAGAAATTTTGAAACTCTCCCAGGTTCACACACCTAGTTAGAGGTAGAATTAGAATAGACTAGAAATCTGAACAGTCTCGGCTCCAGAACCCATGTTCTCAGCATGTGCCTTTGAATTCTGTCCAGTTCAGCACTTTGTATACTGGCACCATGTTCTCTCTCAATCTTTTCTAATTTTTTTTCCTTAGACTAACCCTTTTGTTACAATAATTCATGAAAGATTTATTCAGTCCACCCCCTCCTTTTTTGGAGTGGGGTCATATTTTTTATCTCAAATTCATCTTCACACTAAATAAATGATTTCTTAAAACTAGTGAAAGTGTAAGCATTAAATAGCTGAAAAACACAGGTAGTGTCCTGGATGGAGCTCATTCCACTGTGTTGACTCAGAAATTCTGCACTGTGGAGGTCTAAGTAATTTAAATTAAGTGCCTTCAAAGTTTTTGCATATTCTTGTCCACTAAATATTGTTTCTATTCTTTTATTTCTTCTTCCATTGAGAAAAAGAAAGTAACTTTTAAATATTTAGTTATAAGGTATTATATAACATAGACAAGATTTACAAGCAACATAAAACTATAAAGGACATATAAAAAGCATGGAATGTTTGTCACTGATAATTCTTTAGGTACTTATTATCATGGATGTAAATATTCTTTACATGCTAACTCTACTATTGCCAACAGGTAGGACTCTTTTAAGAGTAGTCATAAATCATATAATAATGAACTATATGATATTGGGGTTCTATTTACTTCAAAATTTAAGGATACTGTATTTAGAGCATTATAAATAAGAGCTTATAAACCTGAGTTGTAACAATACCAGAGACAATCACATGATATATGAGTAGTTTGGCAGTTATGTGAGGTGTAGGAGAACTTGAAATCACATGCTATGAAACTATTTGTCACAAACAATAAAAGGTTCAGTGTATACACTCATTCAGATTATAAGGAAAAAATACTACTTTCATTTTTCAAGAGTCCCCCTTTTGAAATTTATAATCTGTTAAACTTCAAATCAGTATGTATTGCTTCTAGAGTTATTGGGCTCAGCACTATGGAATCCAAGAAACTCATGGAATATATAGAAATGAATCATTAATATATATATAATATTTCCTCTGGTCTCATATTGAATACGTATAAACAAAGGCAATTGATTCTTGGATTTGTTTAAAATCTTTAAATTCCATCACTCTTTTCCCTCACAGATTGCAGACTTTGGTTTGTCAAAATGGCGCATGATGTCCCTGTCACAATCACGAAATAGTAAATCTGCACCAGAAGGAGGGACCATTATCTATATGCCACCTGAAAACTATGAGCCTGGACAAAAATCAAGGGCCAGTGTCAAGCATGACATATACAGGTATAGTGCATTAGTTATGCTCAGAGATAACTTGTCTAAAAAACAAAATTAATCCATCTGAATTTTGAAAGTACGCTTTAAAATGTAATTTTTTATTCTTCTCTCCTAAATGTTGGGAAAATAAAATCAAGCCCACAGTGATTAGTATTTCTAAAGTTAAAGATGCCTTGCTTTAAAGCCACTTTTACATCCTTGAAAACATTTTAAAGTTCATCTTATTATCCTATAAATTTATAATATGATACTCCAGGGTTTTATCATATATGACTTTGATGCTGGTGGGGAGGGGAGACAGGGAGAGTCTGGTTAATCACTTAACACTACTGAAGAAGACAGTACTTAGACCAGAACAAAGTCACTAAATAGGGCTACACAGGACAGCTTTCTTATTGCTCTCTATTTTGTGTGAATAATAAAAATCATATAATTAGAAGCAATAGCTTATCTCGGTGTTTAAGAATAATTACTAAGTTATCCACAAGTTATTTTTGCATATAACTTTTTTATAACAGTAATTTCCAAATTTTTCAATTTAAGGTTAATTCCCTTTCAAAACAAACTGAATATTCATCATCTTGGTTTGAAACGCTTATTCTTTATACAATTCACTACCTTGTCACTTTCAAAAAAGGGTATCTCCACAATCAACTTTGAAATTTGGTATTATATTTTATTAAACATAACTAGTTTAAATGTACTGTTTGTACATTTTTATCTTAAACAGCTATGCAGTTATCACATGGGAAGTCTTATCCAGAAAACAGCCTTTTGAGGGTAAGTGTTCTAGATAACGTCATATGGTGGACCGATGCAGAATTCTCTAAAGTTCATCTTATTTTAAATATGCATACCTTTCATTTTGTAGAAAACACACTATAAAACCTGACAACTTACCATGAATCCACTGTACACTGAAAAATGTACTAGATCCAGGATCAGAAAAAAGTTAGGTTCTAATTCTTATTTAGACAGTAATTAGTTCTATCATCAAGCTACTAAATTTCTTATCTTCATTTTTTCCTCTGTGAAATGAGAATTTTGAATTCCTATTTCTAAGATTCATTCCATCTATAAACCTCTTAATATGAAAATTTATTCAGTGGTTCTGGTACAAAGACAAGTAAACATTAAAGAAGAATTTTTAAATTTTCTGAAAATATTATTTCTTTATTTTGAGGTTATATAAGTCAGCTTGCTGTGCAAAAGACAACCTGAGAATCTCCATAGCTTACAAAATAAATATTTAGTTCTCAGTTACATTGCATATTAGTTGCTGCGGCCCTTCCTGGGTCTAATCAGTTCTACTCATCTTGCCCAAATCCAATCACATGGCCAAGCCCAGTGCCAATGAGGTGATGTTGTAAATTCTGCCATGGAGGCAGACAAGCCTAGCAATGTTTGGGTATACGTATTTCCTTTACAGAAAGGGGGACAATGAATTAGTCCTAAGATTATTAAGATTCCCTCATTTTCACTTGGTTGGTTTTCAAATGCATTTAGCATTTTGGATCAAAAAATATTTATAATGAATGACATATTTGTTTTGACAGAAGTCACCAATCCTTTGCAAATTATGTATAGTGTGTCACAAGGACATCGACCTGACACTAGTGAAGAAAGTCTACCATTTGATATACCTCATCGAGCTCTGATGGTCTCGCTCATAGAAAGTGGATGGGCACAAAACCCAGATGAAAGGCCATCCTTCCTAAGTGAGTACATACTTTCCTCTGGACCTTCTGAGTTACAAAACAGTTATTATATTGAAAGGCCATTCTTCCTAAGTGCGTACATACTTTTCCTCTGGACCTTCTGAATTATAAAATAGTGAATATACTGTGAATAAAATATTCCTTGAAACATAAATTAGATGACAGACTTAAAGATGTTTTTATTCTCTTCACTCTTGTTATTCATAGCATTTATAAAAGGGTAACTGCTTCTAGAGCAGAATTAAGATTCCTAATAGAAAAGAAATCTGATAGGGGTAATGATTCCATTCTTGCATGCAACAAATATTTACTGAACACTTCCCTTGTGCCCTGCCTATGAGGTGATTACTGGGAACAGAGTAGTGGCCAAGACAGCCTAAGTTGCCAAATTCTTGTATCTCATATCCCAGTTGAGAAAGCAGAGGAAAAAATAAATAAATAAACAAACAAACAAGCTATAAATTATGGAAGTCCTATAAACAAATAAGCAAGGTAACAATAGTAACAGGAGTGGAAGGAAACTCCTTTACTTAAGGACAAATGTTTGAAGTGAAATTCACAGCTTGAAAAGGAGACAGCTTTCTACAGCTAACGGCAGGTATTTCAGGCAAAGAAAACAGCCAGGTCAAAGCCTTCAGCTGGAAGAGGAAAGTTTGTATTTGAGAGGAACAAAAGAGGCCTGAGTGGCTGGAATATAGTGAGCTGGAAAGGGAATGATGCAGAGAAGGAAGGAGAGGCTGCTGGTATCATGGAAAGACTAGATATTGGTTCCCAGTACAGTGGAACACCATGGAAGCATGTCTCACAGGGAACGAGCTTAGAAGTCACTCTTGCTGCTGTGTGGAATGGAGGCAGAGACCAGCCAGGGGACTTTCATAATCAACATGGTAATCCTGGGGACAGGAAAATTAGACAGAATTAAGATTACTTCAGGGGAAGAATGGATAATCACCTAAATGCCGACATAGGAGTCAAATTTCATGACCTTGGATTAGGCAGAGTTCTAGGATATGACATCCAATACAAGACCCATGAAAGAATTGATCATTGGACTTCATAGAAACTGAAATTTTTGCATTTCAAAGATGTATTAAAAAATAAAAAGACAAGCCACAGACTGAGAATGTTCATTCCAACTAAACAATGAAATATATTTTCCATTCACTTATGTCCAGGGCTCATCAGTGTTCTATTAAAAAAAATCAAAATTTGCTAAAATAATGGGTTCACATTTTATCTCTTATTTCCCAGAGCTGTGAAGGAGTTTATTACCTCCTTTGTCTCCAGTGCCACTTCCAAATAGTAATTTCCTAACAGTTGTAGCTTTTCTGTAGATCATGCATTAGTCAATATGTACTTCCTCTGCATAACTCCTGGGTTTTCCCTGCTATTCCCTGAAGACTGGGGCGTCTGACCTACTGACTTCTTCACTTGCATTGGTCAGGAATCTGACTACTTGAGAATCCTCCACATACTCTGAAGTTGTCTGTGTGCCTCTCCTCTCTAGTACTATGTCCTGTGAGCACAGTCTGACTTGGTTGACAGTTCCCTGAACTCAGTGTCCCCAGGTTCCACTTTAAGCATGTCCTTCTCCTGACAATCCTGAGGCTCACTGCATCTGTTTCCCATTTCCCAGATCACTGTCCTTTGTTGCCTGATAGCCACTGTCTTGAAAACCACACACATTGTTTTGCACATTTGTCTGGCTTTTTTGGTTGCTTCAGAAGGAGAGTCAATAGATCCCTGTTACTCCATCGTGACCACAGTGGAACTTCCTGGTTTCTCTTTAAATCAGTGGCCTGAACTGGGCATTAAACACTGCTTCTCAAATATATTTACTATTCTGTTCTGATAAACCAATTGTTCTTAAGGTGTGGTGAGGAATTCCTGATTGGCGGAGGCGGGGGGCGGGTCCCTGAGACTCTTGTAGGGGTTCACAAAACCAAAACAGTTTTCAAAATAATAAATACTAGGACTATATTCTCTTTTTACTCCCATCCTCTCAAGAGCATGTAGTGGATTTTTCCAGGGGCTAAATGAGGCATGATGGTATCATTGCTATAATAGATAATACAATGTGTTCTCATATACTCTTATTTTAAATTTCCCCATTTTAATTTCTGATATACTAAATATCGATAAATATGACCCACACATACAAAAGCTATTTGGGTTACTCAATAATTTTGACGAGCCCTGAGTCCTAAAGCCTTCAGAGTTGCTGTCTTAGATGATCATCTTGACATCTTTATGTCTACAAAGTAAAACTCAAAACTTTCCATGCGATGGCTACCAAGGCACAAGAGCCTACTATCGTCTCTTTCTCAGTCTTTTCTCTTCCTCTACTCAATTTCTAACTGCCTGAAAACCACAGAGCCCTACTATGGGTCCTTGACTCCTTGCGATCCATACTCTTCCCAGGTTATGCAGTCCAGACCATGGCTTTAAATAACACCTATGTGTTAGTGCACTTGTTTTGATACCGTGAATACTGGCCTCTCCTTTGAGCAACAAGTTCATATTTTATTGTAATAATAGTAGTAATTATGATTGTTTCTACTTGTTGGCTATTGTGAATAATGTTGCTATGAATGTTCATAGGCCAGCCTTTGTGTGAACATGTTTCATTTCTCTTAGGTAACTACCTATGAGCAGAATTGCTCAGTTGTATGGTAAATTGATCTTCCATTAAAAACAAAACTGCCAAACTATTTTCCACAATGTCTGCATCATGTGCATTTCCACCAGCAATGGATGAGGTTTTCAGTTTCTCTTCACCACTGTCAATACTTGCTACTGCCTGTCTCTTTAATTATAGCTACAAAGGAGGACCCCCAAAAAAAAACAGAATTATCTTCTAGTGTACAGACTTGCCCCACTAGGTGAGTGTTCCAGAAACCCATCTGTATCAGTGTACCAGTTGCCATTGTTGTGAGAGGCTGCATTTGGCTTCAGTGAATATTTTTTGAAGACACATTTGCCCATTTCATGATGGGTGATTTTATGAGTGCACCTGTCCACACTGTGCTGTTTTTAGCCAAAAGCAGTATGACCCCCATGCACCACCCTCCCTCTTCACCCAGTCTCACCCCAAGCAACTTTTTTTTTGTTTCCCTGGATGAAAAAGTCCTCAAAGGGAAATGTTTTGCCAATGTGGAGGAGGTAAAACAAAAAAGCAGCAGAAGCAGTAAAAGGCATCAAAATCAAGGAGTTGCAAAACTATTTTGAGCAGTGGAAAAAAGTCTTGATAGGTATATTGCGTCAAATGGAGAGTACTCTGAAGGTAACTGAAGTTTAAATATGTGAGAATAAATACACAATTTTTTATAAATTCACTCTGGGGTTTTATTGTCCCCCTCTTATATTTTAGTGGGTATGGAACGATACCTCATTGTAGTTTAATTTGCATGTCCTAATGACCGATGATGTTAAACGTACTTTCATGAGTTATTTATCCATTTATCTCCTTCAGTGAAATATAATTGTTTGCCCATTTTTAAATTGGGTTATTTGTCTTAATAACTTGTCCTGAGTTCTTGTGTATGCTAGATATAAGTCCTTTAGCAGATACATGATACGCTAAAATGTTCTCTCAGTTTGTGGCTAGACTTTTCATTTTTATTAAGAGTGTCTTTTGAAGTGTAAAAGTTTTCAACATTTTGAAATTCAATTATTAGGGGTTTTTTTTTTTAATGAATCCTGTTTTTTATGTCATATCTAAGAATTCTTTGCCTAAACAAGGTTATGAAGATTTTCTCTTATATTTAGATGCATGATCCATTTCAGGTTAATTCTGTATGTGGTGTGAGGGTGAGAGTCTTAAGTTTATTTGTTCCCGTGTATCTATCAAACTGTTCTAGTACCATTTGTTGAAATGATTCTACTTTCCCCCATTAAATTGTCTTTGTAATTTTGTCCAAAAAAATTGACCATCAGTGTAAAGGTTTAATTTTAGACTCTCTATTCTTGTTCTGTTCCAGTGATTTATATGTCTATCTTTTTTTTTCCACCCCGCTACTCCTCTCCCCTTCACAGCCATCAGTTTGTCCTCTGTATCTGTGGGTCTATTTCTGTTTTGTTTTGTTTTGTTTTTAGATTCCACATATAAATTAAATCATATGGTATTTGTCTTTTCTCTGTCGTATTTATTTCACCTAGCATAATACACTCTAGGTCCATCCATGTTGTCTCAAATGGCAGGATTTCATTCTTTATGTGACTCCATACTGTTTTCCCCAGTGGCTGTACCAGGCTGCATTACCACCAACATTACACTAGAGTTCCCTTTTCTCCACATCCTCATCAGCACTTGTTTGTTGATTTATTGATGGTAGCTGTTCTGGCAGTATGAGGTGGTACCGCATTGTCATTTTAATTTGCACCTGTCTGATCATTAGTGACATTGAGCATCTTTTCATATGTCTATTGGCCATCTGTATAGCCTCTTTGGAGAAGTGTGTATTCAACTATTCTGCCCATTTTTTCCATTGGATTGTCTGTTTATCTGTTTGTTTTGTTTGTTTGTTGGTGGTGTTAAGTTGTATGAGTTCCTTATATTTTTTGGATATATCATCTCCAAATGATACAGATACACCCTTATTGGATGTATCATTTACAAATATCTTTCCCCATTCAGTAGGTTATCTTTTCGTTTTGTTGATGGTTTTCTTCACAGTGCCGAAGCTTTTTAGTTTGTTGTATTCCCACCTATTTATTTTTGCTTTTGTTGCCCTTGTTTGAGGAGACATATTAAGAAAATATTACTAAGACTGATGTCAAAGAGTTTATTGCCTGTTTTCTTCTAGGAGTTCTATGATTTCAGGTCTCACATTTAAGTCTTTAATCTACTTTGAGTTTATTTTTCTGTATGACATATATGTAATGTCTTCATGCCTGTAATAAAAGCTGTTAAGACAGTTGATTGTCATCAGTTTGGGGAAAAACTGACTTAGGGCCTTATCAATTAAATATTAGCATTTATACTGTTCAACTTAATACTTACATGCAATCTGAACTCTGATGGGCTTTTTTTTTTTTCTCATTTAGAATGTTTAATAGAACTTGAACCAGTTCTGAGAACATTTGAAGAGATAAGTTTTCTTGAAGCTGTTATGCAACTAAAGAAAACAAAGGTAAATCCATTGCTAAATGAAGTGCTGGAAATCAGACTTTGAACAATTACATATTAGTCATGAAAATTTTTAGTTTTGTTTATAGTTCTTACCTGTATACTTTTCACAGGTATGGGCTACAGTATTGGGATGGGAGAGTTTGCAAGAGACAGTAAATATTATTCTTCTCTCACCTAAGAGCTTTTCCATTTCATTCAAATGGCCACCTCCAGATTTCAAAGATATTTCCAGAACTCCCATATATTTAATTTAAATGTAATGTGTAGTAAATGCCAGTGTTTACAATGAATTCCCTAAATCAACTGGAGGTTTTTAAAATCTATATTTATTTCCCTAAAGTTTTAGTATATTCAGAGTAATAGATGTCTGGGTTCTTACTTTTCTTTGTCCAGCATTCTTGGGCTTTTCTGAGATTTAAGTTAAGTTGTAGGATTTTTATCGAAAATTGAGGCCAAAATGTGTATTTTTAAATTGCTTTTTTTAAGTTATCTTCACTTGATGTTGCACAGACTAAAGTGGCAGTTGATACAGATCTAAAACACGTGCCTTATTCACTTATGCTGGCTCTTGCAGATCAGAAGAACTGAAGAGTCCTAATACTGCAGGGTTTTATTAACATTATCAAAAGTTGTTTAAAAAGCACCTATAGTCCTTTAGGGATGGAGTAAGCACAGTTTAGCACTTGCTGGGTTTTATTATATGGCATTTGAGATATGACAATAAAAACCATTTTTTATGATCCAAACTCTTAGATTGTTTACTTATCACTAAGTGACACTGCTGCTGGCCTCTTGCAATTTTCTGGGTCGATTGACATAAACTTTGGTTTAGAAAGGACACACATAAAGGAAACAATTACCGTTAACTGAACTAAAAATTTATAGTGATAGTACTGGTTACTGCCTGAGTTTTTTAAGGAACTAAAAAAAGAGCTGTGTTAATTCTGATAAATTTTCACTGACATCCCACTTCTGAGTAGGTAGTCTTTTTCAGAACATTCCAATTTCTCTTCTTCTTAGTGATATAAACTTCTGATAACATTTCTTTTTACTTTATCTTTTCTGTTCCCTTTTCTTTCTTCATAACTTTCTCTTTTAAGCAAAGGTGGGTAGAAGGGGCTGTTTTCTTGGTTTTAAAATAGAAGAGAACCATTCTAGATCATATTTGTCCCCAGACAACTTTCAATTACAATCTATATTTAAAACTGTTAATTTTAGAAGAAATTTTGACTTTTTAAATAATTTGAAGTATTGAATATATATTTTCAAATACCTGAATATCATTTAATAATAGCATTACTTTCATCATTAATTTTAACTTACTATATTGATTTCACTTGGAGTGGTTGTAGTTATTTTTTTAATTAAAAAAAATCCTTTTATCAGTTCTGTAAAACTGGTAGGGCAAGAATATTATCTCCATTCTATAGGTGAGATAACAAGGTACGTGAAAGTGAATGACATAACACCATACATAGCTAGCACACAGTGGGGCCAAAAGTAGAATAAAAATTTAATAAGATTTTTCATAAAGAAATTTCTGAAAACAAGGATGACCATTGAGGATGAGACATTTTGTTTGAGTGTTTTACTCATATAAATTTTTTTATATATTTATTTTTCCAAATACATTTGTCTCTGCCTCCTCCCCCCCACCACCACCACTTTCCCCTGCTCCCCTCCCCTCTCTCCCTCCCTCAATCCTTCCCCACTTTGGCTTTGTCCATGAGTCCTTGCTATATGTTCCTTGACTTACCCCTTCCCTTCCTTTTCCCCTGCCCACCCCTCCCTCCTTCCCTCTTGTCTCCGTTGATTTCTTTTTCTTTAGTGTTGCTGGTCTTACTTTTCTTGCATCTTTGTTCTGTTGGTTAGGTCCTGCTTATAGGAGAGATCAAATGGTATTTGTCTTTTGCACCCTGGCTTATTTCACTTAGCATAATGTTCTCTAGTTCCATCCATACTGTCGCGAAGTATAGTAGTTCTTTTTTTCTTTCCACTGCGTAGTATTCCATTGTGTAAATATACCATAATTTTTTGACCTAGTCATCTACTGATGGACATTGAGGCTGCTTTCAACACTTGGCTATTGTAAATTGTGCTGCTATGAACATTGGGGTGCATAGGTTCTTTTGAATTGGTGTTTAGGGATTCTTAGGGTATAGTCCCAGCAGGGGAAACACAGGATCAAAAGGCAGTTGCATTCTCAGCTTTTTGAGAAAATTCCACACTGCTTTCACAATGGCTGCACCAGTCTGCATTCACACCAACAGTGTACTAGTGTTCCCTGTTCTCCACAGCCTCTCTTGAACCTGTTGTTTGTTGATCTCTTTATGATGGCTATTCTGACCAGTGTTGGGTGGTATCTCATTGTGGTTTTGATCTGCATTTCTCTGATGGCTAGTGATGCCGAGCATCCTTTCGAATGTCTCCGGGCCCTCTGTTTCTCTTCCTTGGAAAAGCATTTGCCCAAGTCCTTTGCCCATTTTTTTTTTTGTTTTGTTTTTGGTTTTTTTTTTTCAATTTTATTTTAATTTATTTTTTCAAAGACATTTGTCTCTGCCTACCCCCGACCACTATCCCTTGCCCCCTCCCTTGTTCCCTCCCTCAGCTCTTCCCCTTTGGTTTTGTCCGTGAGTCCTTGCTATATGTTCCTTGACTTTCCCCTTCCCTTCCATTTCCCCGCCCCACCTTCCTCCTTCCCTCTTGTCTCTGTTGATTTCTTTTCCTTTCAGTGTTGCCGGTCTTATTTTCCTTGCATCTTTGTATGGTTGGTTAGGTTCCACTTATAGGTGAGATCATATGATATTTGTCTTTCGCCCCCTGGCTTATTTCGCTTAGCATAATGCTCTCCAGTTCCATCCATGCTGTCGCGAAGTTTAGTAGTTCTTTTTTTCTTTCTGCTACGTAGTATTCCATTGTATATATGTACCATAACTTTTTGATCCAATCATCTACTGATGGGCATTTAGGTTGCTTCCTACACTTGGCTATTGTAAATTGTGCTGCTATGAACATTGGGGTGCATAGGTTCTTTTGTATTGGTGAATTGCCCATTTTTTGATTGGATCATTTGTCTTCTTGGAGTGGAGTCAAGTGAGTTCTTTATATATTTTTGGAGATCAAACCTCTATCTGATGTATCATTAGCAAATATATTTTCCCTACGGTTGGCTCCCTTTTCATTTTGCTGATGTTTTCTTTCGCTGTGCAGAAGCTTTTTATTTTGATGAGATCCCCCTTGTTTCTTCTTTCCTTTCTGTCCCTTGCTTTAGGAGACATATCAGTGTAAAAATTGCTGCGTGGGATATCTGAGAGTTTCCTGCCAATGTTCTCCTCTAGGACTTTGATGGTATTGCGACTTATATTTAAGTCTTTTATCCATCTGGAGTTTATTTTTGTGTATGGTGTCAGCTGATGATCCAATTTCAATTTTTTGTATGTAGCCATCCAGCTTTCCCAACACCATTTGTTGAAGAGGCTGTTATTGCTCCATTTTATGCTTCTGCCCCCTTTGTCAAATATTAGATGCCTAGAGAGACTTGGGCTTATTTCTGGGCTTTCTATTCTGTTCCACTGGTCTATGGGTCTGTTCTCGTGCCAGTACCAGATTGTTTTGAGTATAGTGGCTTTGTAGTAGAGTTTGATGTCCGGTATTGTGATCCCTCCTACTTTGTGTTTCTTTCTCAAAATTGCTGCGGCTATTCGAGGTCGTTTATGGTTCCAAATACATTTTTGAAATGTCTGTTCTATTTCTGTGACATGTCATTGGTATTTTAATAGGTATTGCATTGAATCTATAAATGGCTTTGGGTAGTATGGACATTTTGATGATATTCTTCCAATCCATGAGCACGGTATATGCTTCCATTTATTTGTATCTTCCTTAATTTCTTTCTTCCATGTTGTATAGTTTTCTGCGTACAGGTCTTTTACCTCTTTAGTTAATTTTATTCCTAGGTACTTTATTTTTCTTGTTGCTATATCGAATGGTATTTTTCTTCTGATTTCTTCTTCTTCTATTTCATTGCTGGTGTACAAAAATGCCTTTGACTTCTGAATATAGTCTTTGCATCCCACTGTTTTGCCAAATTCACTTATTAGGTGAGTAGTTTTTTGGTGGAGTCTAGAGGGTTTTCTATGTACACTATCATGTCATCTGCAAACAAGGAGAGTTTTACTTCCTCCTTTCCTATTTGGATGCCTTTTTTTTCTTTTTCTTGTCTGACTGCTGTGGCTAGGACTTGCAATACCATGTTGAAAAGAAGTGATGAAAACGGACATCCTTGTCGTGTGCCGATCTTAGTGGGAAAGCTTTTAGTTTTTGCCCCTTGAGTGTGATGTTGGCTCTAGGTTTTTCATATATGGCCTTTATTACTTTGAGGAATGCCCCATTTATTCCCATTTTGCTGAGTGTTTTGATCATAAATGGGTGCTGTACCTTATCAAATGCTTTTTCTGCGTCTATTGAGATGATCATGTGGTTTTTGTCTTTTCTTTGATTTATGTGGTGTATCACGTTTACTGATTTGCGTATATTGAACCATCCCTGCATCCCTGGGATGAATCCCACTTGATCGTGGTGGATAATCTTTTGAATGCATTGCTGGATGTGGTTTGCCAATATTTTGTTGAGGATGTTAGCATCTATGTTTATCGGAAAAATTGGCCTGTAGTTTTCTTTCTTTGTAGGGTCTTTATCTGGTTTGCAGATTATGGTGATGCTGGCCTCGTAAAAGGAGTCTGGGAGTCTTCCCTCCTCTTGAATTTTTTGGAATAGTCTGAGAAGGACAGGGGTTAGCTCTTCCTTAAATGTTTTGTAAAATTCTCCTGTGAAACCCTCCGGCCTAGGGCTTTTGTGTGGCGGGAGTTTCTTGGTAACTGCTTCAATTTCCCCAGCTGTTATCGGTCTGTTCAAGCTTTCTGTTTCTTCCTCCTTCAATGCTGGAAGGTTATACTTTCTAGAAATTTGTCCCTTTCATACAGGTTTTCAAATTTCATGGCATATAATTGTTCATAGTAGTTTCTGACAATCCTTTGAATTTCTTTGGTATCAGTTGTTATTTCTCCTCTTTCAGTTCTGATATTATTAATTTGGGTCCCTCTCTTTTTTCATTGATGAGTCTGCCTAAAGGCTTGTTGATTTTATTTATCTTTTCAAAGAACCAGCTACTGGATTGGTTGATCCTTTGAATTTTTCTTTTCGTCTCTATGTCATTCAGTTCTGCTCTAATCCTGATTATTTCCTTCCTTCTACTTGCTCTAGGATTTATTTGTTGTTGTTTCTCCAGTCCTTGATGTTGTAATCTTGGGTCTCTCATTTGAAATGTTTCTATCTTTTTTAGGTAAGCCTGTATTGCTATGAACTTCCTTGTCAGGACTGCCTTTGCTGTGTCCCATAGATTTGGTACTCTTGTATGTCCATTGTCATTTCTTTCCAGAAATTTTTTGATTTCTCCTCTTATCTCATTATTGATCCATTCATTGTTTAATACTCTATTGTTCAATCTCCATGAGTTTGCAAGTTTTTGAAGTTTCTCTTTGAGGTTGATTTCCAGTTTCAATCCCTTGTGGTCAGAGAACAAGGTTGGTATTATTTCAATTTTACTGAAATATCTGAGGCTGGCTTTGTGTCCTATCATGTGGTCTGTCTTTGAAAAACTGCCATGAGAATTTGAAAAGAATGTGTATTTTTCTTCTTTGGGATGTAAGGTTCTATATATGTCAGTTAAGTCTCTTTGATTCAGTGCGTCATTCTGCTCCACATCCTTTTGATATCTTTACTGATGTTTTGTTTGGAAGATCTGTCCATTTTTGACAGTGGGGTGTTGAAATCCCCTACTATCAGTGTGTTGCTATCTCTATCTTTTTTGACGTCGTCCGACAATTTCCTTTTATAATTGGGTGCTCCTATATTGGGAGCATATAAGTTTACAATGTTGATGTCTTCTTGATAGGTTCTTCCTTTAAGTATTATAAAGTGCCCATCTGGGTCTCTTTTTATGGCCTTTGTTTTGAAATCTATTTTGTCTGATATAAGTATGGCAACTCCTGCCTTTTTCTCTTGCCCATTTGCTTGGAATATTTTTTTCCTTCCCTTTACTTTCAACCTGTGTTGGTCTTTTGCTCTGAGGTGAGTCTCTTGGAGGCATCATATGTGTGGGTCATGTTTTTTTATCCATTCAGCTATCCTGTGTCTTTTGATTTGAGCATTTAGGCCATTTACATTGAGAGGTATTATTGATAGAAACATTCATTTTTTCTCTTTCTCACTCTTTTCCTTCATCTTCTTAAAGCAGTCCCTTTAGCATATTTTGTAGTCCTGGTTTGGTAGAGATGTATTCTTTAAGCCTTCTTTTTTCTAGGAAACTCCTTATTTCCCCTTCTGTTTTGAGAGCCTTGCTGGGTAGAGCAGCCTTGGCTGTAGGCCTTTGCTTTTCATGACTTGGAATATTTGTTGCCATTCCCTTCTGGCTTGTAGTGTTTCTGTTGAGAAGTCAGCTCCTAGCTGTATCAGGGCTCTCTTATATGTTACTGCCTGTTTCTCCCTTGCTTCCTTTAGGATTCTTTCTTCGTCTTTGATATTTGCCATTTTAATGATGATGTGTCTTGGAGTGGGCTTCGTTGAGTTCCTCCTGAATGGGGCCCTCTGTGCCTCCTGGACCCATGAGACCTTTCCTCTCCTCAAATTGGGGAAATTTTCCATCATTACTTTTTCGAGGAGGTTCTCTATCCCTTGCTTCTCTTCTTCTCCTTCTTCTACCCCTGTTATGCGGATATTATTGCGTTTCAGGTTGTCCTTCATTTCTCTAAATGCCTCTTCATTCTTTTTGCGTCTTTTTTCCATTTCTAGTTCTTTTTGGGAGCTTTTTTCTACCTTATCCTCCATTTCACTGATTTGATCCTCGGCTTCATCCAGCCTGCTTTTGATTCCTTCTATTGTGTTCTTCAATTCAGAAATGAAATTCTTCATATCCATATCCTCTTGTGTCTTCTTGAAAGTTTCTATGTCCTCTTCCAGGTTGATACAGTTTGCCATATGTTCCTGATAGTTTCCCTGTAGTTTCTCATAGTTATCTTTGAGCTGGCTGAGCTCACTGAGCTTCCTTAGAGCCATTGTTTTGATTTCAATATCTAATACTTCACGTGCCTCTATTTCATTTAGTTCTCTCTGTGGAGATTTCTCCTTTGCCCTCATTTGGGGTGAACTTCTTTTTCTTCCAATTTTTGTGAGAGTCTTTTTTTTTTTTTTGGCTTCTGCTTCAAGTGATCCATCTAGATTTCCTGACTTTGTGGATTAAACTTCCATGGTAGCAGGTGGGTCTTTTTATTTATTTGTGTTTTCTTTACTTTTCTTTCTGTGTCTGCCTCTGATGGTGTCAGTTGTTGACCCTATCTGAACTTGGGCCATTTGTTTGAGCCTTCCAGGAATCTACTCTCTGTGTCTGTCTTTTTGATTGTCAATCTGGTCACTCTGTCCTCATCTGTCAGGCTTAGGCACCACAGGGCAGAGCAATGCCTCCTGATGGTGGGACTATTGTGGCCTTATAGGCTACTGTCACTCAAGGGAGTAGTCTGCCTGAGCAAGATGTAGATCATGGAGTGGGGAAGAGTCAGCACCGGGACTCAACAACGCTCTGTCTCTAGTCTCTCCTCAAGGGTCTCTGGGCAGCTCTGTCACCCCTCGGCCAGAGATCCACTATTTCTGGGCACCGCTTTATAATCTCACACCTTTCAGCTGGCATGCCCGCTTCTGCCTCTTTGGAGGCATGGCCTGCCTGTGCAAAATGGAGACCATGGAATGGAGAGTGAGTCAGCCCCGAGAACTCTGGCTAATCCTCCACATCTTTCCCCAATGCCTCCATCTCCAGTCTCTCCTCAAGGGTCTCTATGCAGCTGTGTCCCCTTTTGCCATGGATCCTCTATTTCTTCCAGGCAGTCTGCACTCAGCCCCCAGCCTACATGTGCACAAGCTGTGTGTGGAGCGCGCAAAAGGCAGGTTAATTGACTCACTTATGCCTGAGCGAGATGGTAGCTGCGAAGGGGGAGGTGAGTTATCACCGGGGCTCCACTGGCCACCGTCTCAGTTCTCTTCACAAAGTTTTCCTCACCAATCTTTCCTCAGGCACCAGCCCACTGTCCTGCAGCCTCTACTCAGAGATCAAGGAGGGTGGCTGCCACTGCAGATTTTTGCATTGGCCCTTTAAATGTCTCTTTGCTTCTCCAGTCACCTGTCTCTGGCAGAGAGCACCCCTAAGCATTTTGGGGTTGCGTTTTGTCTGTGTGTTTTTCTGGTTTCAGCTGCTGTAGTCTAGGAGTCCCTGTTTATGATTTAGACTCCGTTCTTCTCAGGGGGATCCAACTGGCCATTTCAATATCCGTCTGGTCCTGGTGCCTGTGGATGCCCAGCACACCCTCTTGAGCCTCCACTGCACTTCTCACCCGTTCGGATGTGTGAAAGTTGATTCCACTATCTGTCCACAGCTCCTGGGTTCCTTTCCCTCTCTTGTTCCATTGTTTTCCAGGTGATTTCTCCACTATTTAGTCGCAACTCCAGTTTGGCCTTGGGAGGAAGTCCACGTGACTCCCATTCACTCCTCCGCCATCTTGTTTTCTCTACTCATATAATTTCTTAATCACCTCCAATTAAAGAACACATATGTATATTCATTCCAGTTACAGAGTGCTTCAAGTACTACTCACTCGTGTGACAAGAAGAAAATGGAGTCATCTCTGAACATATCTCTAAATCATGGTCCACAAGAGGTAAAAAAAGAAAAAAAAGAAAAATTGTTGGTAAACTCAAACTGTGAGAAGAATATGCAGTCATTTAGTCTATCTCCTTCTTTTGTATTCAGGAAGCTTGCCTAGGGGGGTTATAGGGTCTGTCAGGTAGCCAGGGAAGTCCCAACTAAACTGCAGTGCTTCTTTGCGTTGTCCCCAAAGAACACAGTTCTGCCTCCTTGTTTGGCACTAATTTTAGTGCTCCACTGACTACAGTTCTGCCACTATACCTATGCCTGCCTGTTCTTTCCTCTTACAGTGATTAATGAAAGAAAAATGTCATTCATGTGGCTATATACAAAGAAAGATTTCTTCAGGCACATTCATGCAGGCTTATTTCATATTGGTCATTTCTTTTAAGAATATGTATGTTCACTTTACAGATTCATAAAATAGCTTCAAAATGAACCATGAAGCACTCTCGTTGGTCTCTGAATCACCTTTACATACACTATCTCATTTGATCCCGGAGCCCATACATGCATATTTTTAGACAGATATTACAGAGATCACAGAAAAAAGAGCCAGAAAGCAATAGGGTTGAAATGCCTTGTAGAAAGTGAGTTCATAACTCTGTAACCAAGCTCTCCCCCACTTCACCACGGACCCCTCCATATAGAAGGAACCTGATGCATTGAGAATGGGCATTTGCTCTGAATCAGTAGGTAACCGGAGTTACAGATTCAAATTTCTTATCAACTGTACAAAGCCTCTGAAATCATATAGCAAATACTGAAAAACTAATGATTTATAATGTATTTAATTATTGTGCCCCCATTTGAGTTTATTTAAAAAATCAAGTTTTTTTGATATATATGTGTCTTTACCTTCGTAAGGCATAATCTGTAGTAATTTTGATTCTTTGTTTATAATAAGCCAAATGCAAGAACTATTTAGAAATTAAAGCTGTATAACTTCTAAAATGATTTTTCATTAACCTAAATTGTTTATCCCCTATTTACTTTAGGAATCATGTGGATCCTCTCAGCTTCATAAAAGTAGTGCTTCTCCTGGAACCTCAAGGTCCCTGTCAGCTCCTCAAGACAATGATTTTGTATCTAGTACGTAAATTTTCTTAGTCTGATTTGCAAGTTTTCCATTTTCTTTCAAGGTGATATTCTTGGTAAACAATCGTGGTTTGTATGTAACATGTCTTTAGTTTGCATTCATAACTGATTTTTACAAAGGAATAGAAAGTAAAGATGTTCTAGGGATGTTCAACAGATACACTATAGTATCAGAGGCATGATATTAGACGTTATAGAAAAATATTAAAAAATATCTTGCAAGAAAAAGAAACAATGTGTCTTAAGTATCCACAGTGTGAAATAGAAAGTGATGTAACAGGGAGGTGGACATAGACCTGTGGTACTTCAATGGGAGAGTAGCATTTTTTACTTTCACAACAACCTTGTGAGGGAGACTTTCCTCATTTTACAGATTTTTAAGATCAAGACTTCTGGATCACATGGTTAGTAGCTGGCATATCCAAGACTCGAAGCCAGGTCTTTGATAAATATTTTCATGTCACTCTGCTATACCATGTGGTCATCATGAAGAAATATTTCTGGCTGAAGATTGGACCTATAGTTATAAAGGATGGGCATTCCAGGCACAGGAACAGCATAGAGGCTCAGCAGCAAGAAAACACAGAACAGTGAGTAGTCGGGATTAGCTGAAGGGGGAACGGAAGGAGAGGAGCAAAGATCAGTAGGGTGATGTCCAACACGAGGCTGCACTGTCTAGACTTTCACTTAGGTATGGAGCAACTATTGCAAATTTTTGAGCAAAGGTATGACATGATGGAATCTTTTGCTTTAGGAAGATTCATCCTGGTCAGACTCTAGGATATTTTAGAAGGAAAAGGGGACGAGGTTGGGAGACCAGTTAGGAGACTCTTGGTCTACTGGTGCAGCACAGCTGAGAGACTAGGTGGCCTGATAGGAGTACAGGAAGGGAGGAAGGTGTGCCAGGTATATGGACTCTCTGATAGGACTTGTTAACTTCTCACTTGCAGGAAGGAATAGAGAGATTATTTCTCTGCTTTATAGCTGTGATGGGGAGAACACTGCTGTTATTAACTGAAATAGATTTTAAAGTTAAGATGAATAATTAAGGTTTTTCATGTTTTGTTTTGTTTTTTACTTGAGGTGGTCAGCAATGTATAGGATGGTGATGCCCCGTGGGCTACATAAAATATGAGGGTTCCGTAAAGTCAGAAAATTTAATTACACAGACTTGAGAAGAGAGGTGACAACTGAGGCCCTGAGGCTGAATAGGATTACCAAAGGAGAGTGTAGAGAGACATACATCATGTACAGAATTACAGGACACATTAAAAATGCAGGAGAAGACATGGAAGAAGAAAGAGGAGATGGTGTAAAAAAGTAAATCTCCCTGATTTTTAACTTACAGAAGTGTTGTAGAAACATTCAGTATAAACCCTTTTTTATGTTCTAAAAAATACTTACTTGTAGAATTAGGTTTATGAGCCAGCTTTAACAGCAGTGAAAAATTACAGACATTTGAGTACTCTCCTCTGCATGACCAAACCTTGATACTTGATCTAACAGGAATAGCTAAAGAATATTTACCCCAATGAAGATGTTGTTTTTCAGGAAAAACCCAGGACTTCTCTACCCTACTTCACCTCCCAGTAAATCACAGCTGGGACAACATGTTTGTAGCTCAGAGGGCCTCATTCGGTGACCACAAGACTGCCCTGTGCTCTTTAGCAATAAATCCACTCTCAGCCAAGGGGAATTCAGGTAAATACCTACTGTGAGGTGCTTGTAATACCATTCACCTCACAACTATATGCTCATTAGATCAGCCATTCAGTGTTTTATTTGTCTTTCTTTCCTCAGTATGATAAATATATACATTCTTAAGTCAGAAAGCATATCCAATCCCAGAGCACAAGAGGGTTAACATGTAACCACAGACTCAGTGGTATGCCATGAACATCACTCTAGGGAGGAATGCTAAGAGGAGGTGTGACCTGATACCTTACTAAAGGCAAAGTTATTTTTGTTTATTTAACAGATATGCAGGTATCTTTTATATATTTTTTTAAAACCTGAAAAATGGTTTTTGCTGCCATGATTTATAGCATATAAAAAGGCAATGCTTTTTCCGGGAGGGGATAGGAAGAGATAAGTCAAATATCTGAATGTTTCCTAAAAATTAACAGCATCCCCCCAAAATAATGGTTTTCCATATTAGCACAATCATAGTAAAATTATGTTTTATGCCTTATTTCTTATTTCATCTCATTTTATTCCTCACTACATACCTGTCCTCACCTTTTAATTGTTACCCCTGCTTTATATAGAACGGTCACAGCCTGGAGTGGCCCAGCAGTGGATCCAGAGTAAAAGGGAGGATATTGTGAACCAGATGACTGAAGCCTGCCTTAACCAGTCACTGGATGCCCTTCTGTCCCGGGACCTGATCATGAAGGAGGACTATGAACTCATCAGCACCAAACCCACAAGGACTGCAAAAGTCAGACAATTACTGGACACCACTGACATCCAAGGAGAGGAATTTGCCAAAGTTATAGTACAAAAGCTGAAGGACAACAAGCAGATGGGTCTCCAGCCATACCCAGAAATAATGCCAGCTTCTCAATCACCATCTTTAAATTTATTGCAAAATAAAAGCTTATAGGTGACTCTTTTTCAAGGAAAAAAGTCAGTTTATTAAAATGTATTTTATATTACTGTTGTCCTGATCATACTGTTTTTATGAACTCCATGTGAGTATTAGTAGCTTTAATGAAATCTCTCCTACAGGTAAATATTAGTTTCCTCCATGACATTACAGTATTTTTTTAAATTAATACAGTAGGAAGTTTGCATTTTTCTATATAGTTCAATTTTCGTCTCTTTGGTTAATTGAATCTATTTTTAAATGTAATAATTATATGCTTTTTGTACATAATGATGTCTATGTATGGGGCGTTTCTCATGGAAGCTGTCTACATGTTCACTTTGTGAATTATTTATTACTCATCTGAAATGCAGTCTGCCATTTGTGCCCTTTATGCTTACATCAGAGAGAGCACAACCCTGCTGTCCAGGTTCACATCCTCTCCCAAGGGGTGTTCATTAAACTCTTCAGATTACATTTTAAGTGTTATTTATTGAAATCTTCTTTTAAAAATTATTTCAGAGGTAAAACAATACTGAGTATATAAAGAAAAATGATCATCTTTCAACATGTGTTTCTACTTCCATTTCAGACCTCAGCCAACCACACAAAGTGAACAGCATGATGTTTGTGTCCTTCTATCCCCTTCTCCCTGTTCATTTGGGAAAGGGCCTTTCTTCATGCTACCATTGTTAATAGCTTTATCCTGCACCCTGCTTCTGCACTGAGTAACATCATGTGTGTAGCACACAGACCACTGGTGCATTCTTTTTACCTGCATAATATCAGTGTGGCTTTTTTATTTTCTTGAAGATATAGTGTGAGTTCTTTCTTGGTTAATTGAGTTATGTCAAAGTAAAAATGTACAAGCAATAATAGCCCTTTTCTGAAAATATTTATAATATTAGCAATGTCAACAAAAAATGTGATACAGGACAAATTTAAAAGTACAAACTGTCAAGAAGCGCCACACCCACAGTATGAAAAAATAAGAACAGAAATGACTGGATGGCATTGAAGCAATTAAATATTTTATTAAGATTATAAAAATATGAGGGGAGAGAAAGATGGCGGAGGAGTGAAAGGGAGTCACGCTGACCTCCTCCCAAAACCAAACTGGAATTGCAACTAAATAATGGAGTAATCACCTGGAAAGCAGTGGAGCGATAGTGGGAGAGGAGCCTTGGTGCTGTGGACAGTGGATTCCACTCTCACACATCCCAACGGGTGAGAATTGCGGTGGAGGCTCGAGAGGGTGGGCTGGGTGCGCACGGGCACTGGCACCAGAGGGACATTGAAATGGCCAGTTAGCGTCCCCCCGAGAAGAACGGGGTCTGAATCATAAACAGGAACCCCTAAACTACAGCAGCTAAAGCCGAGAAAATACAGACAAAACGCAACCCCAAAAAGCTTAGGGGCGCTCTCTGCCAGAGACAGGTGGCTGGGGATGCAAAAAGACATTTAAAGGGCAAACGCAAGAGTTGCAGTGGCAGCCACCCTCCTTGATCGCTGGGTAGAGGCGGCAGCAGGGTGGGCTGGTGCCTGGGAAAAGACTGGTGAGGAAAACTTTGTGAAGAGAACTGACACTGCAGCCGGTGGAGCCCGGGTGATAACGCACTTCCCACTCTGCGGCTACCATATCCCTCAGGCATAAGGGAATCAATTAACCTGCCTTTTGTGCGCTCCGCACACAGCTTGTATGGGTGTGAGCTACGGGGCTGAGTGCAGACTGGCTGGGAGAGCCTTGAGGAGAGACTGGAGACTGAGGCATTGGGGAAAGAATGGGAGGAGGAACCGGGGAGTCCCGACTCCCTCCCCGTTCAGTAGTCTCCATTGTGGGCTGGAAAGGCGCGACCCCAAAGAGGCAGAAGCGGGGCGCGCATGAACCAGACTGCCTGCGTTTGAAACGCAGTCTGCACAGGGGTTGGATCCTCCGCTGAAGGGGTCACAGAACTGCCCAGAGGCCCCTGAGGGGAGACTAGAAACGGAGGCATTGGGGAAAGAACGGGAGGAGGAACCGGGGAGTCCCGACTCCTCCTCCTTGCCATAGTCTCCATTGCGCGGGAAGAGGCCATACCCCCAAAGAGCCAAAAGCCGAAAAGCAAACATAGACACCCCCAAAACACCCAGAACAGGCGCGCACACTTGCGCCGCGTGACTGGCGAGGGTTGGCGAGCGTGTGTGTGACCCACGCGGGCTGGTGAAGGCTTGCACCTGCCGGCAAGGCCTCACACAGACTGGCACCCATACGGCCTGCGAGGGAGTGCACAGAGGGGCAAGGGCAGGCATAAATTGACCTACCCGCCGCGATTGCGGAGCGGCCCACAAAATAAGTAGAACTGCCCAGAGTCCCTGGAGGAGAGACCAGAAACAGGATTAACCGGAGAGTCCTAGAGCTGATTTCCTCCCATTTCCGTAGTCCCCATTTGGCGAGGGCAAGCAATGCACCCAAAGAGCCAAAAGCGGGGAAAACACACAATAGAAGACCCTAAACTGACCAGTGCCGCGAAGCTCGCGTGTCAGGGAGGCCAGATGAGTACGGGAGGTCGCGAATAAGCCCCCTGGTCTGGGACAAGCACATGCGAGCCCAGGCAGGTGGGGGACCCTGCTGCGCTGGGAACATGCTCAAGGAGCTCTCATGAGAGCGCAGAGAGATCCCAAAAAACAGCCCAGCCCTGACCGAAAGGGTCACAGAGCTGCTCCAAGCAGGAGTCAGACACAGGCACTAGACTCCTGAAAGGCTCAAACAAACAACCCAAGGCCCTATAGGGTCAACAACTGATTCATCAGAGGCAAGCCCAGAAAGAAAAGTAAAAGACAAAAATACTTAACAGACTCTCACAAAAATGGGAAGAAAAAGAAGTTCCCCCCAAATGAGTGGAAAAGGGGACTCACCACAGAGAGAGCTCAATGAAATAGAGGCAAGGGAACTATCAGATATGGAATTTAGAACAATGGTTCTAAGGAAGCTCAATGAGCTCAGCCAGCTCAAAGATAACTATGAGAAACTGCAGAGAAACTATCAGGATCTTACAGCAAACTATATCAGCCTGGAAAAGGACATAGAAACTATCAAGAAGACACAAGAGGATATGAAGAATACCATTTCTGAATTGAAGAACGCAGTAGAAGGAATCCAAAGCAGGCTGGATGAAGCTGAGGATCGAATCAGTGAGATGGAAGACAAGGTAGAAAAAAGCTCCCAGAAAGAACAAGAAATGGAAAAACGGCTCAAAAAGAATAAAGAAGCATTTAGGGAAATGCAGGACAACCTGAAACACAATAATATCCGTATAATAGGGATACCAGAAGGAGAAGAAGAGGAGCAAGGAATAGAGAACCTCCTTGAAAAAGTAATGATGGAAAATTTCCCTAATTTGAGGAGAGAAAAGCTCTCATGGATCCAGGAGGCACAGAGGACCCCACCCAAGAGGGACCCAAGGAGGTCCACTCCAAGACACATCATCATTAAAATGGCAAATGTCAAAGACAAAGAGAATCCTCAAGGCAGCAAGGGAGAAGGAAAAAATAACATACAAGGGGGCCCCGAATCGCCTAGGAGCTGACTTCTCAACAGAAACACTACAAGCCAGAAGGGAATGGCAACAAATATTCCAAGCCATGAAAAGCAAGGGCCTACCGCCAAGGCTGCTCTACCCAGGTAGGCTCTCCATTAAAATAGAAGGAGAAATACGGAGTTTCCCAGACAAAAGAAAGCTAAAAGAATACATCTCTACCAAACCAGCACTCCAAGATATGCTAAGGGGACTGGTTTAAGCAGATGAAGGAAAAGAATGAGAGAGAGAGGAACACAAGTACAAAGAGAAAAGATGAGTAAGTTTCTATCAGTAATATCTCTCGATGTGAATGGACTAAATGCCCCAATCAAAAGACACAGGGTAACTGAATGGATAAGAAAACATGACCCACACATATGCTGCCTACAAGAGACCCACCTCAGAGCAAAAGACCTACACAGATTGAAAGTAAAGGGATGGAAAATAATATTCCAAGCAAATGGATATGAGAAAAAGGCTGGCGTTGCCATACTTGTATCAGACAAAGTAGATTTCAAAGCAAAGGCCATAAAGAGAGACCCAGAGGGGCACTTTATCATACTTAAAGGAAGAATCTATCAAGAAGACATCACCATTGTAAACTTATATCCTCCCAATATAGGAGCCCCCAAGGTTATAAGGAAATTGTTGGATGACTTCAAAAAAGATATAGACAGCAACACACTGATAGTAGGGGATTTCAACACCCCACTGTCAAAAATGGACAGATCTTCCAAACAAAACATTAATAAACATACCGTGGCGCTGAATGACACACTGAATCAAAGAGACTTAACTGACATATATAGAACCTTACATCCCAAAGAAGAAAAATACACATTCTTTTCAAATGCTCATGGCAGTTTTTCAAAGATAGACCACATGATAGGACACAAAGCAAGCCTCAGCAAATTCAGGAAAATTGAAATACTACCAAACTTTTTCTCAGACCACAAGGCCTTGAAACTCAAAATCAAACTCAAAGAGAAACTTCAAAAACTTGGAAACTCATGGAGACTGAACAGTACACTATTAAACAATGAATGGGTCAATAATGAGATAAGAGAAGAAATCAAAAAATTTCTGGAAACAAATGAAAATGAACAGACAACTGTCCAAAACCTATGGGACACAGCAAAGGTGGTCCTGAGAGGGAAGTTCATAGCAATACAGGCTTACCTTAAAAAGATAGAAACATTTCAAATACAAGACCTAACACTACAACTTGAAGAACTGGAGAAACAACAACAAATAAATCCCAGAGCAAGGAGAAGGAAGGAAATAGTCAAGATTAGAGCAGAACTGAATGACATAGAGACAAAAAGAACAATTCAGAGGATCAACCAATCCAGAAGCTGGTTCTTTGAGAAGATACATAAAATTGACAAGTCATTAAGCAGACTTATCAAGAAAAAAAGGGAGAGGACCCGAATTAATAATATCAGAAATGAAAGAGGAGAAATAACAACTGATACCACAGAAATACAAAGGATCATCAGGGACTACTGTGAAC